AAGGAAGGAAGGAAGGAAGGAAGGAAGGAAGGAAGGAAGGAAGGAAAAGAAATGGACAGACAGATGGGGAAGGAAGGAAGGAAGGAAGGAAGGAAGGAAAAGAAATGGACAGACAGATGGGGAAGGAAGGAAGGAAAAGAAATGGACAGACAGATGGGGAAGGAAGGAAGGAAAAGAAATGGACAGACAGATGGGGAAGGAAGGAAGGAAGGAAGGAAGGAAGGAAGGAAAAGAAATGGACAGACAGATGGGTAGACAGACAGCTAGGTAGACAGACAGATGGACAGCTGGATAGATGGAGAGAATCAGGAATCCAGGGTTTGAGAAATTTCTCTTACCATGGATAAGTAACAGAGATGCTGGCATATCTGACACCTTCTTTCGGATGTCTCTAACTGCCACTTTCGAGGCTTTTTCTTCCCATCCACTCCCGTGCTGCTGTTGTCATGGCTCCCATAGCGAGCTGAAGAATGGAGACCGGTCTCGTATAGCTGCCGCCGCTGCCTCAATTCTGTGTCCCTGTGAAAATTAAAAATAATTAGAAAACAGCACAGTCTCAAAGGGAAATTCGAAGTTACATCTGGAAGGCCTCATTTTTTACATGCAGCTGAGCCTTTAATAATTGTCAGTGGATAACGCAACACTGCGTACACTCCCAGGGAGCAGTGCCAAACTCCTCCTGCTGCTTAATCCCACCTAAGATTGCGTTAGTGACCATTGCAGACCAAGCAGGAATTCTAATGGACTGAAAACTTCAGAAGTTGAGTTCTTGTTCGAATCTCTTATGGCACTCCTGCTTCAACTAGACTGTTCTGCTAGCCTGAATTGCTAAAAGAAATGTCCCTCAAGACACTTCCTAGGAATCCAAGAATGATGAAGGCTTGACGTTTAGTAAAAAAAGAAAAATCTGAATATATTGCCTAGAGTCCTTGTGGCTTTAAAAATCTGATTTATGAATGCACAGATTCTATGTACGACTGGTATCTCCTCCTTGTTTACCTTTTAGTGCATGTTTTCATTACTCACCTACTCTTGTTGTGGTTCAATGAGTTTCGTCGTGTTTAATCTGAAGTTTTCTTCTGATAGGAACTGGACTGTGTGACTTCTACGAAACCTAACGTTGAATTTTGACATGAGATTACCAATCGTCCCAATATTCCTTTCATCTTGCTGTCCTCATAGGAAAAGAAATTCAATTTGAACAAGCCTGAGGACCATTTAGATCAGGGGTAGTCAACCTTGGCTCTTTTATGACTCGTGGACTTCAATTCCCAGAATTCCTGAGCCAGCTAAGCTGGCTCAGGAATTCTGGGAATTGAAGTCCACGAGTCATAAAAGAGCCAAGGTTGACTACCCCTGATTTAGATGGACCCAAAAGGGAAAACAAATGTCAGCCCTTTTCACATTTATAAAATGCCCTCTTAAGAAAATGCATATATGGAGGTAACATGGATGTAACGTTCTCAAGAAGGAGAAACTCCATGTGGAGATCCTCAATGAATCTCTCAAGTCTTCTGCCCTGAGTAGCAAATACGCAGTGAAGAAGACTTGATTCAGACTATGCAAATTAACAAATTAGTTTATTAAATACAATTTGTAGATTCCAGTCATCAGTTTTTCTATGGATCCTTGATCTATGCGATGTGCTATCGATCACACTTGAATTGTGGGTAACGAAGCTACATGATAAAGAACAAAGAGAACACAGCATTATATTAGAAAGACAACACCTTTCCCCTCCTTTCAAAAATGTCCTAGAGAGAGGGATCGGAAAAATATTCAATACTCTTTCCGTGTTGAAAATGGGGAAATTCTGTGGAATTCTGCTCATGCCACAGTCATGACTGCAAGACTGGCTCTCCTTGCTTATCCATAATTACAGAAAAACCTATGCAAATGTTCGGAGGAGAACATTTTAAGCTATGGATGCAAATACTGAGTTCCTTTATTTAAAAAAAAAAAAGTGAATGCTTGACAGGAGACCGACTCCTTCGTTTTGGTCTTCAGTGGTTTAGCAGCACAGCAAGTGTTGAAGGTCTTCTCCATCTGTGGCTGGGCTCATTGGTCCTGGCTATTTCACAGCATCCTCTGTAATTGTCGTTAGAGCTTCTTTTCAAGAGAAAAGCAGATATGAAAGTGGGGTTACCTGAGCTCTCTCAGAAGGGCCGATATTGTACTCAGAGCAGACCCATTTTCTTTCTTGGCCTCAGCTGTCGCAATCTGATACAGCAGCTTTTCCATTGAAAATGGCTTGGGTATATGTCGCCTCTTCATTTCCTACCCACAAACATTCCACTGTTAGCGCTCCCTTATGATACAATGAAATACATTCCAACAGAAAGACCACAGCCTAGACTGGACCACATGCAATCATTCACATGACATCTCCAAATCAGACTTGAATGTTTAATAGCTAACCCAGTGGTTCTCAACCTTTTTAATGCCACGACCCCCAACCGGTCGTAAGTCGAGGACTAAACCGGTTGTAAGTCGAGGACTAAACCGGTTGTAAGTCGAGGACTACCCAACCGGTCGTAAGTCGAGGACTTTCCCTGCCTGGGAGCACCATGCATGCGTGGTTCCGCCCCCTGCACCGGCCGAGGCGTAGCTGGCAAGCGGCAGAGACGGAGCAGGCTGACCACCAGCTGGCCCAGCCCAAGGGAGGTAAGGCACCCGCTGGAAAAGGGGAAAAAAAATGGCGGACAAAAAAAATGGCGGACAAAAAAAATGGCGGACAGCCTTGCTTGGCGACCCCCATGAAATGGTTGATCGACCCCAAATGGGGTCCCGACCCACAGGTTGAGAACCACTGAGCTAACCAAATCTGGGGTTTCATTTTGAACGTTAGACATTGTCTAAGAAATTTATAAACAAAACAGGTCTTTGTAATAATGATTGTTTTCGTTATATAGCATGGCACACAATGTGTCTGTGAAGTGTTTTGTTTTCTTTTACAAAAGGCATTCTGTTTTTTGTTTTTTGTTTAAAGTTCAGCACATATATACACTTTTCTACCTTGGCAGTTTTAAAACCCATGCTTGTCCACTGGGTGGTAGCAAAGTGCACAGTTTCAGAGACATTGTAACCGCAGCATACTTTTGACACAAAAGATCCTGGAAAGCAGACAACGAACTGCCCGCTCTGTTGTACAGTACGGTGCACCTTGATCCCCTCTTTGCACAATACCTCGGGGGAGATCTAAGTAGAGAGAAGAAAAGAAACCCTCTTAAAATCTTATTTCCCTGTCATTCAGTACTTCCTGTATAATGCAAAGAAACTTGGATCTACCTTAGAAGTCTTCAGGTTACAGTGTACTTCAACCCCCATAATCCCACAATCCCCGTTACATAAGACAATACCGATATCACATAAACTTTAAATGTTGCAATACAAACTGGAACTTCCAGTGCTTATTCCTTGTACAGATGCTATAATCCTGAAAACAAACACAGGTATTCCTTGTTTAGCAACCATAACTGAGACTGGGACGTTGATCATTCAGTGAAGTGGTCACTAAGTGAAACAACAACTGTCCCGATGATCTGATTTCAGCTGCCCTTCGCTTTACAGATCCGTGAAGAATGTAAGTGGTCACAAAATTACTTCATCACTGTAATAATTGCGAACGGTCACTAAATGACACATTTGCTAAACAAGGACTACTTGTACTCTCAATACAGAAACACCTTAGAAGTAGGTTAGACTGATTGATACACCATATTTGGATGCATCAAGAAAGTTACTTTAGGTAGGAGTTTCAAAGTTCCTAAGAAAAAATCCTTGGAGGTTACTTTTAATGGAAATCAAAATACCTGTCAGCCTTTTTTATCTATATATCAAGATTATTGGGGAGGGGGGAGGGGATATAACCTTTTTTGGGGGGGGGATTGGATATATGGGTTGTTTGGGGATGTGGTATTGACTGCATGATATGCTAGAAGTGAGTCAGAGATGGCAGGTCTGGGCTTACAATAGTATCCAGTAAGGTGGCTATGGAGTGGTTGTCAAAATGGAGGGTGCTAATGATGGAAGAGATGAGAGAAGCGGTAGGATCTGAAGGTGAAATGTGAATAGGTTGCCCGCCTGGAAATTATCTTGTTGTCTTGGGGAGACTGGCTATTGTGCTTCATATTATCAGAAGAGAGTGAGAGGGGGTCCTTGTAGCTGACATGTGCGCTCCATTTGAAGTCAGTGTGGCAACAGGGGTGGGATGTAATGTGGCAGCCATCCACTCAGGAGGACACCTTACTGAAGTGGGAGATGGAACTGACATGAACAAGGAGACTGAGGTGAATTCTTCAGGGGAATGCCTCATCTGAGTAGAAGGCTGTTGGAGATGACAGGAAGTCTTATGGAAGGCCATTGTTTAATCCTCTTACCTTACTTATGTTGTTCCCCCATTATTAACTGAAAGAACTTATCACTCAGCAAGGTATTAATGAGTTGACACAGAATTTTGCAGGGGATAATATGGCACAGTTTTTATAACAACCCATCCTTCCAAAATGTGCTGTACAGCAGAGTTAAATCTATGAACAATGCCCTAGTTTCAAGGCCTCATTGGAATCCTACTTCAATATAGCTTGTTAGGCTTAGCACCTGGTCTACACAGCTCCATATCATGTGGCATATTGAGATTCAATTCAATGGTTGAGTTTTACATATACCCATGGCAGTATGGTTTTTCAGCATTTAGTCCCTTGCTTCAAATAACTGTACAACAGAGTTCACTGCTATCCATAAAGTTATAAAACAAAATTGAACTGGATTCCTCTAGACAGAAATCAGAAAGTAACTCACCATGACATTACTTTCAAGCATTTCCAGTCCTGGAGTGCCATTGGCTTGCAACAAGGTATGTACCACTTTGTCAAGTTTTTTCTCCTCCGCAGCAGGAATGCAATACCTGTTCACATTTGACACAGAGAGGAAATCACAAAAAAGGATATGAATTCTAGACCAAACAAGATACTATGCATCAAAAGGCAGTGTCCCAAATTGTATTTCCAAAACTGGATGCCAACCTAAGGGTTTAAAAACTAAATAGGAAAAGATGCCATAATCTGAGGGGGGGGGAATCAGGAACTTTATATTTAGACAGAGTCTGAATACTTTAAAATAAGATTGCGTTTCACAATTACAGTATTTATTAACACTATATCATGACACTAATACCGCGTAATATGTTGCCCAAGACAGAGAATAAAAAGGTTTTATCAGCTGAACAGCACATAGAAAGGAAGGGAAGGGACTTGCTTGAACCCACTCCTTATGAATCTGCAGTCAGCATGCCTCTGTATGCAAATATTTTTTTTAGGTAAGTATTTTCAATACTAAGTTTATTAGTTAATTATGCATAACCGAATATGTCATTTTTTTTAAAATCTAGAGCTCACTGTGAAAATCCAAATAATGTACAAGTATTCACAGGAATAATCTGCACACTATAAATCATAAGATAAGATAAAGAATGACAGAAATTTCTCTGGAACAATGAAGAAACTATAACTGATTAAATAATTGAAATTAGTATTAAGAATTTATATTAATACAAATCCACAGTTCAGATGTGGCACAAGTTCATATATGGAATTATCAAAAAAAAAAATCCAAGTTAAATTAAATAGTGACAGATTTACTTGTGAAATGTTATGCTGGATAAGGCATACTCCTGCAACTTAATTAGCCATGCTGTGACAACTGTATACACTTTCCAATAAGAAATGCAAGGTATCCTTGCAGCAGTTAAGCTACTTTGATGTATTTTGTGGGGACATAAAGTTTAATGACACTTAGTTTTTTAAAAAATAGGTTGGAAAAGAAATTCAGCCTGTAGAATTTGTTTTATTCTACTATAAATCATTTTTCAAAATTTTCCAAAATTGATACTAAATATAGGAAAACGATCCCAGCCAATTCTTATATTTCTATAGTTAAAAAATTAACTATAACAGATTCTTCACAGACAAGTTTGTAGACCCTGGATATTTAAATTTTCTCCACATAGTTTTTTTTTTAAAAATCAAGAGGCAGTGATTTAAATTTCATACTGGTTATTAATTATTCAAGAAAGCCATCATCTTTCACACTCCCAATGATTATATTGCAGTAAATTATATCTTGTACATTTAGGCTGTACCAAACATTGTACATTAGGTTAATAAGAAGCACTGAAAAGTTGAATGTGTGAAACAGCCTATTCTTAAAAAAAATTGCTTGCTTTCCTGACTTTAGAGAAGGCTTTTCTTCCTATATAACAAGCCAGGGAATGTTTTTTTTTTTTTTAAAAAAAAGCTCTTTTTGAATTTTATATGTGGTTTCAAATGGCTGGAATAAAACCTGATCTTGCAGGAGGATCAGGAAAAACCATGAATGGTAGATACAGTATATTTTATCAACTTCCATCCTATCAGTAACTCCTCTCTCCCTACCTAGTTATGAAGCACATTTTAAAGAGGTAAAAAGAACCATTAATGGAAATCAGAATGGATTATTTCTTGCTTGAATATGAAGCAGCCTTTCCTGACCTGTGGGATTGTTAGACCCATTAAGCCAGAGAAAGACAGATTGAATAAGATTCTCAATTTCGCAATACCTTTGTGAGCTTAATTTCAAACTATCTGAACCATTTGGAACTGACTGAATTTCAATAGTAAGACTCTATTAATCTCACTTCCCTGCTGTATTAGGTAGTAAAATTTTATTGTGCCACAACAAATGCCAGTCTGACTTTTACTTGGATATTTTAAAATACATTACGGCAGCTAAGTTAGAGAAAACTTAAAAGATGAATTCTAACGCAACTCTATAAAATGTCTTTCTCACCCAAGAAAATAATAACAATAATCTGGAGTGCCAGTTAAACATTCTGTTCATCCTAAAATTTTACTTATCTTTGTTCGGATAGGTCATTTTACAGTGTTCACTTTTAATAGTATTGGATCCTGTCTTGAAATTCTAAACAGAATGATTAATGGTATAGTTTTTTTGATTTTGGAATAAAAATTTCTACAGATCCCCAACTAAAGCACGGGCAGTAGAGCAAAGAAACAAACTTAAAGAGTTACTTACCAAATGCAATCAGCACCAGTGTGTAAGTAGTCAATATATGGAAGGTGATTTTGGTCTCGAGACCAGCATGAGGTAGAAAAGACCATGCCAATGTTTAGCCAAGGAATTGTCACTCCTAAATTAGTAACATCAGATCAGAAGAAAACATGATTAATGCCAATCTTCTCATTTTTTTAAAAAAACAACCTATTAAATTATGAATGGTTAAAATTGTATTGGAAGCTATATGTGACATTTGATGTCCCCTGAAAATTTAGACCTTCCCAAGAATGGAAAAAAAAAATGACAGATCTTACAAAACCTGAAAATGATCTTAGTCTGATTGGTCAAATCTCTTTTGATCCCTGGGTTCTGATGTTAACATGCAAACTGTATCTTAGCAAATCAGCTCATATAGCTTTATATGCAAATATGAATTTAACTTTGGCCAATACAGATAGCCCTTGATATAGGACAATTGTGCCGAAAGTTTCCATTGCTAGCTAAGCAAGACAGCTGTTAAGTTAGTAATAGGGTTGTTAAGTGAATCTAGCTACCATCATTGATTTTGCTTGCCGGAAGCCAACTGGGAAGGTTACAAATGGTGATCACGTGACCCTGGGACACTACAACTGTCGTAAATACATGCCAGTTGCCAAGTGTCTGAATTCTGATCACGTGACCACGAGGATGCTGCAATGGTTGTGTGAAAAACAGTCATAAGTCACTTTTCAGTGCTGTTGTAACTTCAAACGATTGCTAAACCAATAGTTAGTTGTAAGCTCAGGACTACCTATATACTATGTATTAAGAGCTAAACAATATCTCTACCAAACACAAGCAATGTTCATGAAACATTGTCTGGAAAAAATAATATTTCCTTCCTCTGAGGAAGCTGAAGATGTGCAATAGGTATTCATACTCATTCGATAATTATCTCTACAGATAAATGCAATCGGACTACTAAACTGCATGAGAAAATCACAAAGTTTTTTTTGTTAGGTATGATAACAAAAATTAAAAATAATCACAATATCATACCACTATCAACTTTGACAAGTGTCTCAAGCAGCCTTTGTAAAGTAGAAATCACAAATGTTATCATAAAGAAAACACAGTAACAACAAAAATCCGCACATTAATTGGCACAGCATAAACCCTTTGGGACGGCAAATAATGAACCTACTTGTGCCTATCAATCAGCATACAGGCATTAGATGCTACCACAAATGTACTGAATATTAATGAACAGGCTACAACAGATTTGAAGAAGTCAACAAGGACATGATCTGCACTATATATTAAGCCTCCATCTCAGTCTGATTCTTTTTATAATACACAGATCTGAATTAAACCGTGGCGTGATTATTATAACAGACAACACAAATCTTAGCAGCCTCACATGAAAAGAAGTCTGCCCATCTGTGTTGAACAGACTGAAGGGTCAGTGGATAGCAGAATTACACACAGTTTAAATACTGCCATGACAAAAAAGTTAACTGAACGTTAATTTATTTTTAAACAACATTTATAGATGCCTGGTTACAGGGAAATGGGGAAAATGTGATTTATTTAAAAATCTTTCTGAGCGCCACAATTACAAGTATGGAGAAAGTACATCCTCTTACCAGGCACAGCACCAAGATGTCGCAGGATGGATCCTGTGTTATTAGGAAGGACTGTTAGGTTCCACCCATGCCTGTGCAAATTAAGTAATACAGATAACTGTAAGCAAATATTAAAGGCCAACTGAAAAAGAGCTGACATAGCCCTCTGTAAAGTATGAATTTCGGTTAGAGTTTATAAGTCAAAGACTATCACTTAGACCTCTTTTTTTTTGGTCAGGAGAAAGAAAGTCAGTCTTTTTAGATTCATTTGTCAAAAACATATTAACTAATTTTTAGAATGTAAGTAAAAGTCACCAGACCGATTAAAAAAGACTTCTTGATTTTACTGATTGTTCTTTAACTAATTGAAAGACTTTCGTGTATTTTTATAGATGTCAATAATTAAAAGCATCAGGGCTACTACTTCTTCATTTCAATAGCTGTTCTGTTCCCAATGTAGGAAAACAAATAAACAAAATATATAAGTATTCATTGGTGACTAGAATTACTCTCTGATGACAGACTGTATGCTGGTTGGGAATTCTGAGAACTGCAGTTTTAATTCAATTAGATGTAAAGGGAGGCTACTATAATGCTTTTATGGCTCTCTTGAAAGAAAGATGGCAGAAATTACTGGCTAACTATATATTTTCATCCAAAATAGGTTATAATTCAAATTTAAGTACCTCTGAAATATCATGTTTGGGGAACAAATAAAGTAAACCTAGCAAAGGGATTAAATTAATTCAGAACACAACATAGGAAAGCTAACATATACTGGACTCAGCTACTCTATGCAATCAACCAACCAAGTGTCCACCCCCTCACCTCTCAAAAGGACTGAAAGAATGCATTCTTGGGAGTACATTGACTTGAAATATATGTTGCCTTTTAAATCTCTTGATCTTAAGTCAAAATAGTACAGGAGCATGCAATTTTATGGCTCTCACAAAAGAGTCTGAGCTAAAATTATATAGTAATAGTAATGATAAAGTTGGAAGGGACCTTGGAGGTCATCTAGTCCAACCCCCTGCTCAGGCAGGAAACCCTATACCATTTCGGACAAATGGCTGTCCAGTTTCTTCTTAAAAACTTCCAGTGTTGGTGCATTCACCGCTTCTGGAGGCAGGTTGTTCCACTGGTTAATTGTTCTAACTGTCAGGAAGTTTCTCCTTAGTTTTAGGTTGCTTCTCTCCTTGATTAGTTTCCACCCGTTGCTTCTTGTCCTGCCTTCAGGCGCTTTGGAGAATAGCTTGACTCCCTCTTCTTTGTGGCAGCCCCTGAGATATTGGAACACTGCTATCATGTCCCCCCTCGTCCTTCTCTTCGTTAAACTAGACATACCCAATTCCAGCAACCGTTTCTTATATGTTTTAGCCTCCAGTCCCCTAATCATCTTTGTTGCTCTTCTCTGTACTCTTTCTAGAGTCTCAACATCTTTTTTACATTGTGGTGACCAAAACTGGATGCAGTATTCCAAGTGTGGCCTTACCAGGGCATTGTAAAGTGGTATTAATACTTCACGTGATCTTGATTCTATCCCTCTGTTAATGCAGCCTAGCACTGTGTTGGCTTTTTTGGCAGCTGCAGCACACTGCTGGCTCATATTTAAATGATTGTCCACTAGGACTCCGAGATCCCTCTCGCAGTTACTACTATTGAGCAAGGTACCCCCTATACTATACCTGTACATTTGGTTTTTCTTGCCTAAATGTAGAACCTTACTTTTTTCACCATTGAATTTCATGTTGTTAGATAGCGCCCAGTGTTCAAGTCTTTCCAGATCCTCCTGTATCCTAAGCCTGTCTTCTGGAGTGTTGGCTATTCCTGCCAGCTTGGTGTCGTCTGCAAATTTGATGACTTCCCCATCTATCCCCTCGTCCAAATAGTTGATGAAGATGTTGAAGAGCACTGGGGCCAGTGCTTCTCACTTGGGACTTTATAGTTATCAATGCCCACCACATCACATGAATCAAACAGAGTAGTATCTCAAGAAAACAGTTAGTTCCCATTGTTGTACTGGCCAGAGAAGATGAAAAAAGATTAAAAAAAAGATTAAAAAAATAGATCTATTACAACGGTACATAATGGAACTTTTTCCAAGACGAAAAGGGTGTCCCTTCGGTGACGGTACCCATAACCACAGGTGAAAGGGTGTCACGTGACGATGTACCGTCAGGAAGACAAGATGATTAGAGGTCATAAGAACGATATTCCCTTTTTTTTCGATGGGTCAACATTGTCTACAAATTTTAATACCGGTTGTACAGTATCTCAAACACATTCTTTACCTTTTTTCTTAGAAAAAGGAACTTAAGCAAATGAACATGCTGCAGATTTGCTAACAAAAATTCTTATTATCTCTCTGATCTCAGTCTTTCAACAGATAAAATGTTTTTGTTGGCGAAAAAAATGTTTTTAAGGCATTTAGAAAGTATGCATTCATTTAATATTACAAGCAGAAGAATAGAGGACACTCTGCCATAGCCTGGGGTCTTTCAGCAAATTTAGAAAATTAAAAATTCTGGAAGTTTAATTCCAGCAAAATTGTGGAAAACATATAATAAGAGGGAAAAAACCATGACTACCTAGAACGGATAAGACATTGAATCAACTGAGACCTTTTGTGAACATACATATTTTTTAATGTAAGGTCAAGTATCATTCGCCATACAATGAGCTAATCTCCCCTGGTACAGCTACCAGCATAAGGAAATTGCTTAGAATTTATCTTTAGGATCTGGTGTCTTTCACATGGATGCTAAATTTTACGTGATAGAATAGCAGAGACTGCAATAGCTATGTATAATGATGGACCTAATTAAAATTCTCCTATTATATTTCATGAATGCTTTTGACAGTTGAATGAGTGAATTTATAATAAAGTGGTAATAAGAAGGAGATTTTAATGAAATATTGGATCCCGAACTTGATAGAAGTACACTGACATGAAAAAAAATAATTAGTGAAGTATACAAAATACAGACGAATGATAGCTATATAAGCGTAATACACATATATGCACTTAAATAATATTTATATTAGATAAGTGTATATAGAATTGTAACTTAACTGTTATGATATATTATACTCTTGTTTCTTTTCTGTTGTATTTTTTAAAGCACTTTTTAGGTGTTTGCTTTTTTTGAGAAATATACTGTACCTATCAATTAGCTTTATATTTTGTTCCCTTTCTTTTTCTGTTAGTATTTTAAAAGCAATACATAAATAAATATCTGCCTCTTTCTTTCCTATTTACTGCTTCTCCTTTTTTCTTAAACTTAGCAAGATTTTTACTTGTCTTTAAAGCAATCCTGCTTTTAAAATTACACAACAGGCAGCTTTCATGATGACCAAGATTCTACCATTTACCTGTCTGCATCCAGTTAATATAAGTTTCCATGTCAAAGCATCGTTGCCATTACTTGTTAGATGCTTAGGAGTTTTCATATGTAGGGAGAAAAGCATCTGAGTCCAGAATAAGATGAGTTTTAATACTAGGACATTTCTCACCTCTATTTCTGCTGCTGTGGGGTCTTTGCTGAAGCACATACTCATAACGTTTCTTGCTGTTCGGTAAAAAGTTGTTAAAGAAACAGACCTTCCCTATGAAACAGGAGCAAACGGGAAGAATTATGATCCTACATTTTTTCCTAAATATCATAATGCAATGAAATACCAAAAAATAGAAAAAACAAATGATTTGGAAAGAAAATTTATTCTGGCACTCAAGATATTATTGCTCATTTTTTTGTATTTCCAGCTACTGAGTCCCCTCCTCTGTTTCAGACAGTTGGCAAACCGGTTGCACTCCAGATTGTTTTTCAATAGACAGTGGTACCAAGATTTCAACCAATCCAAAAATGCTGGCATGTATCTCAACTTTCCCTCTAACAGATGATTCTCCTCCATTATTTATTATTATTGTTATTGGTTTGTCGCACAGTCAGCCAGATGTTCAAACTGGATTTGGCATTTTTGTCTATCTATCGAGTCCTTTCTAAGAACCTGAGATAGGCAAAAGTGGATGTTTGATGGCGTTAACAGATATTGTCACAGGATGTAAACTGTTCCAGGTAAAGCTGCCTTTTGCAATTGACTGATGGTGAATTTGTCAATGCCAATGGTGTTCAAGTGGTGCTCCAGTTATTTTGGAATTGTACCCAAGGTGCCTACTACTATTGGGACTATCTAATCCTTGCTTTTGCCATAGCCGTTCTATTTCTATTTGCAGGTCTTTATGTCTATAATTATAACTGGTCACACAGTCAGGCAGATGTTTAGATTGGGTATATTGTTATCATTATGATTAAAAGAAAAATATGGGAAAAATAGAGAAGGGAACATTGTCTGGCTACTGCCCCCCAACTCCTGATTCTGCAAAGGAATCAGGGTCAGGCTTACCCAAAAATCTTTGGGTTCCTAAAAGGCTCACTCAACTATATTTTATGTTATGTGTCAAGAAGACGATGTCTTCCAGATACGGGCAATTGCCAAGCAAGGAAAGAAATATAATAGCAACTTCTCCACCGCCCCCAAAGAAGATTTCTAATTGGCAATTTATATTGGTTCTAAAAAAAACAACAAAGATACTTCTTTAGAAATGTACTGGCAAGACTTGATTTCAGGGAATTATTGCAGGCAAGGCAGATAAATTTCCTTCTACTGCATATATTCTGAAATCTTTCCAGACGTACAAAGCTAGAGATTCAAAACTAAATGAAAAATAACATATTCAGTATTTAGCCATATATCACTACCTGATATATTGCAAAACTGAACTAAAATAATTTTTGTTAGAAATAATAAAGAAATATTACAAAAGCTTCCACATTATTTATTTATTTAATTTTATTTATTAAATTGTTATGATGAACCCAAGAATGCATCATGATTACACCGCTGTGACTTTTCTCCTTCATTTAACTACTGCTGCAAAGTTTGCTTTCAACTGGAATACATCTGTGCCAATTTCCTATAATTCTCCACTATCATGACTAATGCTGGCTAGGACTTATGGAAATTGAACTCCAGGCATAAGGCTAGAAAGGCGGATGCATGTCTTATAGTTCAGTAAGGGGAATCTGCCAATATGTCAAGGTTTCTCAATCTAGTATTATCTAGATCAGGGGTAGGCAACCTTGGCTCTTTTATGACTCGTGGACGTCAACTCCCAGAATTCCTGAGCCAGCTATGCTGGCTCAGGAATTCTGGGAGTTGAAGTCCACAAGTCATAAAAGAGGCCAAGGTTGCCTACTCCTGATCTAGATGCTTTAAATACAACAACCATCATCAAGGGATGATGGGAGTTGTAGTGCAATGTATTGAAAGGGTGCCTATTTATCATATAATGAGGATCACCAAGTAGAACTGTACTGGTAACATCTTAAAATGTGAATTATTCTTTCACAAAAGGTTTTTGCTTATTTCAATGGCATAGATTTTCAAGATTACTAGTGGGAGAATGTGGATTATTTTTTTCACAGCTGGCTGGACTGTGGAACTCAAAGCTGGTATACTGTATATCATGGATGAGCCCACAAGGAGTAGTTTAAAAAATTCTGCTATCGACAGCTTAAATTCGTTCAATTCAATCTACTGATATATTTCAATCAATTCAATCTGTTGATTTTTTTTTCTTTTATAGGATGTATTGACACAAAAAATAATCATTCATAAAACCCATAAATACTATTTCATTTCAGGGTAAGCAATATTTTGCAGAGTGTTTTTGATTCATTAATTGTATAAAAGTATACAATTTAAGATCTGTTGCAAATCATTTGCTTTTTCAGCCAAAAACATAAAAAGAACATGCATATTCATTTCTTAAACCAATAACTTTCTAACATTGGCATTCTATATATGTTTATCTATAAATAAACTGAACTACTAAGGAGACATCAAATGTTCTTGTTGTACTCCATGCTCAATGGCAAACTTTGTCCGTAGGCATTCCAATGATTTTTTTACACATGCTTTACACTTCCATTATATACCATTCTGACTGGATTCAGCAAACAACACCAACCATAGCTCACACCTCTTCTGTTGATCATATGCACTCCATAAATCAACAAAAGCACAGTAAAGTTTCTTTCTCACACATTGCCTGATGAATTGCTGAAGAGGAAAAAACCCTGATCTACACATATTCCCCGCACAAAGCCATGCTGCAGACCTTGCTCATTATCTCTTCTTACACCCTTTTAATCATAACTCTGCCAAACATTTTCTCATGCACACTTAACAAATTACCCCCTTCTTCAACTTTTGCATTTGCTCTTCCTAACTTTCCTTTTGTACAGAAGGTCATTCTTCCAATCATCAGAGTTGCAGATTAAACTAACCGAACAGCCACTCCATAAGGACACCTCATCTATATTTTAACTTTTCTTCACTCATAATACCATCTTCACCTACGACATTCTTTAGTATTTATAACATTCTCACAGCATTTGAGACTTCATCATTTTTCCTTAAAGATAGTAATATTTATAGCACTTCTTTCTATTTTACTCTTTGGCAAATACAGTAACTACAATTTCCATACAGATCTCTAAAATTGTCCTTCACATTCCCTCAGTTCAGTTTCACCCTAAATCAGTTCCTGTTACTGTTTTAGCCCTAATTGTTTATACACTGTAAGATGCTTAAGAGCTGTAGCTTAAAAGTGTCCGGGTTCTTAGGAGAATCTGTGATGACTTGTAAGATGAATGACTGATTAAATAACTGAATTCTCACAACTGCTTGAGGGGATTTCTCCTGTGAGCTGGAAGGCAGTTTTGCACAGAGCCGGATTCAGCTTTGGAGACTGAGAGGGTCACAGTGCTTGATGTAATTTACTCCCAAAGCTGCCCTATTTGTGATCCATGGTTTATAGAGAATTTTTGACAGGTGAATGACAGAAGAACCACTTAGATCACCAGTGGACAAAGACAAAAAGTGAATCTGAGTATGGTAAGAGCTTATGTTTCAACCCACACTATGCCAATAAGGGCATCAAAGCCTCAGCATTTACCCATTTTTATTGTGTTGACTTGTGCAGTGACCTATTCCCTTTTAGGGTGATAATCAGAAAGAATTGCTATTGGGCTGCTGTGATGTGTTTGCACAACTTACTGCTAATAAAGTCACTAAGATTTGCTAGAGCAAGGGTGTCAAACTGGCAGCCCACAGGCCGGATGTGTCACGCGCAGGCCATGCCCACCACAGCTCCCCAAAGGCAAAAAATGTCACGATACGTCATGATACGTCACGTGACGCGATTGAATTTGACACCTGTGTGCTAGAGTCTTAACACTTGATGAGTGAGTGAAGAGTGATTGCGGAAAAGTCTTATAATGTGATTTGGGATGTACGGTATTTTGGCTTTTGGAAAGTGGTTGGTATTTTCTAGCATCTACCTTTTTGTTTTCCTTCAACAAGGCGTTAGACATCTCTTCTGCCGTTTCATTTCCTAGAGGCCCTACAAAAACATGGCAGCTTCCAAGAAAAGGAAGAATGCATAAGCACAATATGATCCCAGATCACTGTTACCTCCTCTTTCCAAGTGTTGACTAAGGCTTCAATCAAATTAAGTATATCAAACCCCAAGAACAGGGGTGAGCAATTGTTTTTCCCAAGAGACCACATGAGAAACTGGGACTGTTGTGGAGGGCCTCTGCCTTGCCCTCTTTCACCGCTATGCCCCACTACCCAACTGCTGCCACCTGGACAGGGGCAGCCAAAGGACTGGACCTGGCCCAGAGACTATAAAATGCCCAGGTCTGTTCAAGAACAACTTCAAGTCCCTTTTGAAACCCAATAGGCCATTAGGCTCTTGGTGAACAATAATCAGATAGGTTTTATTTCCTGCACAGGCATACAGGACTCCAAAGTAATCAAAGAGTGATCTGATCACAATCAGGGACAAATACTATTACCCTCTCCTCACTCGCTAAAGCAGAAGTATGCCAATTAAACTCAGCTATTTATTTCTACTCTGTGTTGGCCTGGAGATGCTGTGGAAGTCTTAACAGTCTGGAGACTGTTGTGGTCAGATAGGATTAAAAAGACAGAAGTAGAGTCCTAAAAAGACCAGATCGGTTTTGTCTATAAACCATCTGGTTCTCTGTGGGCTCCAGATTTAGCTCTGCATGAGATGGCAACTTGTGACTTCTCCTGAACATATGACTCCTGTTGGATACGATATGCAAATTATTGTCGCAGTCAGAGAAGCCATTGCCCTGCTTCTGTAGCATTCAACTTGAAGTCCTATGAAATGGGAGGCCCTGCTGATAGTATCTCATGTCCTTATAAAAGCCAGAACTGTCTTCTGAAAACACTGTATATAAGGCTGTTCTCAAAATCACTCTAGAAAAGCTCCTGGTGCAGAATGCAGTAGCCCACATGCTAGTGAGTGAGAACTGCAACATCATACAATACAGATGTTAGTGATAAGATTTCTGGGTGCAATGAAAAATGTTGACCTTAACCTTTAAAGCTCTACAGGGCATGGCTTTTAGTATATCTAGCGCCATCTTTTCCCAAATGTAACTAATCTGTCCAAAGTGCTCATCCCACATAGGGAGGTACAGGGTTCCCAACGCATATTACATGAAAGA